TGGTAAAAACTGGTTAAGGCAAAAATTATCCAAAGATGCTAAACCTGGTAAAAATTTGATGTTTGATGAAACAAAAGTTAAAAGTTTGATGAGAAAGAGGAATACACAGTCTTGAAATATCTCCCTGCAAAATACTTACTAATTTTTCACTGGAGAAACATGGCAGGCAGACACTAACTTAAAGTAAAAGTTGACATCACTATAAGGAGGAAACCAACATCATGAGCCTGCTGACATGCTGCAGTGAAAGAACACAGCACCATCTGTCATACTCTGGTCAAAAATGCATAAATCACGGGGACGTCAGACAAACCAAAACTGAAGGACATTCTGCAAAGTAACTGGCCTGTGGCCCCCAAAACTATGTGGCACAAAAACCAAGGAACTGTTCAGACTGAGTAACTCAATGGACAAGACAGGACAAACCAAAACTGAAGGACATTCTGCAAAGTAACTGGCCTGTGGCCCCCAAAACTATGTGGGACAAAAACCAAGGAACTGTTCAGACTGAGTAACTCAATGGACAAGACAGGCAAAGGCAGCACATGTCTCTGGCTGCAAAGGACACGAGTGCGCCACTGGCATGAGCTCACTGGTTAGCTGGTGGCCTAACGTCGATGTTCATGCTGATGCTTGTACTGTGAGGAGTTCAGAGGCCCTTTGTTTTTAGGAAAGACACACTGAAGTATTAAGAAGTAAGAGAACATATCTGCGACTTACTCTCAAATGCTTCAGGAAAAAATAAGACAGTAACATACACACACACAAGAAAGAAAAACGCTAATGTAAATGTGGAAAAATGTCAACTGGAGAACTTACACAAAGGTGAAGAGGAGCGCTCCATACTACTGAGTGTGAAAGTATTTCAAATAAAGAGACTCAGGAGACAAACCAACCAAATGCAATGGTCTGTGGTCCGTGTATGTACAGACCAATTAAAAAATATAAGATGAACAGGCAAATCTGAATATTAAGTTACTTGGTGTGAAGTTATCTATGCTACTCTTTAAAAGGAAAAAGGCTCCTTATCTTTGGAAATGCTGCCGAATGAAATGCTAGTGTATCTGGGATTTACTTCAAAATACCAGGGAAGTGGGGTGGGGAAAAAAGCAAGGATGGTAATGAAATAAGGCTAAGGCTGTTCATAACAGTTAGAGCAGGGACAGGAAAGGTCACCACACCACTCTACTCTTGTACTTCAAAACTTTGAAACTGTCTTGATAGCTGTGCCACCCGCAGCCAGAAGCCATCAATAAGCATGACTGACTGAAATGGTCCTGCAGCTCCTACGTGATTAGCATCACCTACAGGCTCTCTACCCAGTACCTGAGAAAGCCCGTCCCAGGACTGGAGACTTTCCTGTTTCCCCAGTGTGTTTCCTGCCCTCCAGGTGGCAGGAAGAAACTGCCCCAAGTGCTTCTCACCAGACAGATGACTGACCTTACTCAACAGCAGCCTTAACAATCAAATTACTTTTGCCAGATAAGAAGGCTTTGATTCTAACTTTTCCATTTAGTCAAAAACCAGGTTGCTCTTTCTGCCTTAAGGAGCAAAAACAAGAGTCATACATATGTACACGTTATTTAATATAACCCTTTTATTTAAACATCCCAGACCCCATTTAAAAATAAAATTGCAAAGCACTACATTTAACAAAGCACATAAGACCCCTCACAATTAGCATCACACTTTGCAATACAGCTCTTACTCTAAGAACAGCCTTTTTTTTTTTACCCTTTCTTACAACAGGCACAGAAGTCATCTGAGGCCTCAGACATTAACCCACTGCATGTTCTGTCGCACTCAAATGTACGACTCATACAATTATTAAAGCTTACAGTACAACTTTCCAAGAATTCATAAGGACTTATAGATTCTTTCTATAAATAATTTTTAGAAATACTGGACCTTAAGACCAATATAAGCATAATGAAAGGGACCTGAAATTTCTGTAAGGGCAGTTTCATTCCTTGATAGAAGCATGACTTTAATGGTGAAAGTCTATTACCAGCAAGAGACACACTAGACCCAGCTTGGCCAAAGAAACAAAGTAAAACGAGCAATTTCTAAGATGTGAAAAAAATACTTTCTAGTTAAGTTCCATGTGAAAGCAGTACTGATCATTCACAGACTGCCCTTGTCATCCCATCAGTTTTTGGTCTTTAAAAATACACACTTTTCAGGTCAGAAGTAGTTCTGGATACGACTTCGGATACCAGTGACCAAGGTGGAGGGCGGTTCACGTATGCAGGGTGTCTCCCTGGCCTCCTCGGCCTTCTCACTGGGACTGGTCAGCTCCAGCTGGGTCACAGCCTGGCGCTGCGTCTGGGCTGTCAGCCTTTTCTGTTCTCTGTTCCTCACTCACCTCGTCCTCCTGCTGCCCAGAGCTGGCTGCACTCTCATTTGTTAAAATAACCCCTTCTTTCTTCTTCTCTCCCAACACCTCTAGCCCCATCATCCTGAGATAATGAAGCCGTTCATTCTTGGGCACAAAAGTTCGAATTGAGGCCTTTCCCCGCCATCCACATAACACAATGGGACACTGAAGGGTATCTGGATTCCTAAAAATAAAAATGGCTTTATGTAAATATTAAATGTTCTCAAAATTGCATCTAAAGAGACATTGATATGCAACTTCTCAAACAAAGAAAGTCCCACAAAAAACCCTCAACTACTGGGAGGACACTTTCGATTGAGGTCCTATGGTGGGTCTTCTCAAAGGAAGATCGGCCCCTTCTTCATGTCTTGAATAAGATCAACACCCTTGGGTTGGCCAGTTTTTCCTTCTGAAAGTTCATGACTAACCCCAAAATCTGCAGATTTCACAAACACTACATGTTAGAATTTCTATAACCTTCCTTCTCAAATTTGAAGTCCTACGTGTACCACCTCATCCTACTGAACAAGAGGCATTTCTTCGTGTGCTCCTCAAGCTCACCCTGCACTGTCCCAGATGGACAAACTGAGGTTCCTCAGAGCCTGGTGCCTTTGCCCAAAGTAACAATGCCAGTCAACAGAACCAGGACTGGGACCAGCACTGCCCATTCTTTCAGTACCCAATGCTCCACGTCATTCGGTCTCTAGCGACCCCTCGTCACAATCCAAGCCCTGCCAGGCACACTGCTTATTTCTGCTTCCAGCATGCCATATTCTCTATGTCCCCACTTTCCCAAACCTGCTTGATACTACCGGCACCCTACCTTATGGTCACTACTTACAGACTCACCATCTGGCCCCCACCAAGGGGTATCAACTCCTCCCCTAACAGAGACATATATTATTTAGATCACCCCTTACCAGGTACTATGCATATTGCTATTTAATTTCTTTCATGCATGACTCTGGTCTAATGTTTAGGCTCCTAGGCTTTAATAAACACAATGTCCCAAACCTACTTTATACTAGGCACCAGTGACACAGGCTGAGGAAGGGACACAGAGGGTTTCAAATATATTTTTAAAAATAAACAAAAAGAAAAGGACCTGAACCAAGAAAAGAGAAATAAAACCAATAAAAAAAGAGAGGGTACTACATCAGTACCTTTCCATTTTTCCTGCTGTAAAGCAGACAATAAAATGATGAAAAGTGACAGGAAAATACAAGAAATTCCTAAACTCATATATATTTTTTCTAAATCTAATAATTATTCCTGAAGCTGTCATCTCACCTATGTACTTCAATTAGTAGAAACCAGTGGTTTATATGTGGAAAAATGAAGCCATATCTTAACCCGTTTTCCATCTGGGCCACATGGTACCATTACTTTTAGAAAACATTTCGGGGCCTTCATTCAAACTGTGCTGTAAGCACCCTGGCAGGTGCTGCACCTGCGGTCCTCTTCCATGTCTTCCCGTCAGCACGCGGGCACGCCCTAGCCTCCCCGTCTTACACTTGCCCTGCCCCGGAGCCCTCACCCGCAGAGCCCACCACTGCCTTTCACAGAGACCTCTCGGGCACCGCCCACACTGGCTCTCCCTGCGTGCCGCTCCTGGGCCATCTTCAATCAGCGCCCCCATCTCTCCCACTCCACCAACTGCCACCAGCCGTCACAGCCTTGGTGGGACGCCATCTGTTACTCCCAGCCCCCCAGAACCTGCTGCCCCTGGTGTCCTGGCTCCTCACTATCACTCTTGTGGTTCTGCTCCTGAGGGCATCCCTGTCGCTCCCACTTTCACTGACTTCTCTTCTAACGTTAGCAAATCCCAGGGCAAGATCCTGAACGGCCTTCTCTTTTCTAAGTTATCTCATCAAGCCCACGACTTTCTACAGGATCTATGTGCTCATGAATGCCAAATGTTTACAGCCGGGACCAACTTACCCCTGAATTCCTGATACTTCTATCCAGCTGTTACCCTAATGTCTACTTTCATATCTATTCAAGTATTTCAAATTTAGTATGTTAGTTCTTCCTTGTTTCCCATTATAGGAGATGACAGATGCTCAACTCAAAAACCCAGATGCCCCTTCCCTGTCCACATACAATCCACCGCGAGAACATCCCAAGGGGCCCCACGTACACTGCTCTGCCCCCGTCTAGCCCTATCATCGGTACCTGCCTCCTTCTCACGCCCCTCACACCCTCCCCTCCAGATGAGAATACTACATGTCTAGTGACGACCAGGCGGGTACTGACTTACGCAGAATCCGGTTCATACTTCAGCACGATGCTGCCCTTCGCTGGAAGAGAAACGGACACGCATTTGCCAAGCTTTCCAGTTAGTGGCACATTCATGTGCCCAGCACTGTGTTAAGTATTTGAGGGAAGAGAACAACAAACAATCCACACTCTTGGTCTCAAGGATCTAGGTGGAGAAAAGAGGACTGCTGAATACATGAAGGCAAGTCCAAAAGACATGGTGAAGACAATCTACAAGAGGACTGAGGCAAAAGCCACCTAGGGATTCACCGTGAAGCTGCTTAGCAAGTCACTCTCAGAAGCACAGGGACTAGGGACTAACTACTGATTAACTCTCCAAATTCAAGATTGATTAAACTGTAGCTCCAGCTCCTAGAAACAGCATGAAATAATACATAAAAGTTGTCAAAAATGATACTGCAATACCTAAATGTAGGATTAGATGAAAAAAGTCTAGTCAGTTCCCTTATCCTCTAAAATCATCCCTACTTGAAACTGTGGCCCTTGCCTGAGGAGCCAACAGGCAGAAGCACTCAGCTCAGCATGTCTTATAGCCTGTAGGCCTCCAGTTTTAAATACGTGAGAGATACAATTATATAACTACAATAACTGATTTGTGTAGTTCTCATCAAATTGAGCCAGAAACATTGAACAAGTTGTAAAAAGCAAACAAGAATGAAAACAAAAGAAAAACAAAGTATAGCTTGGCACAATTACTTTCACACTTGGGGGAAAACATCACTAGAGTGATATGAAATGGAAGTGTCCGAAACATAACAGCAACAATGCAACATGTAATCTATTTTGGTTGGCTAGCAGAACAGCAGGAGCTGGTGGTAAGATTGTATTATTTTGATTTAACAAGGGTGGTTAAAATGCCAAACAAACCAGATACCTTATGTTAATTGTTCTCGTGCAGCTTACAACACAGATGAACCCAAGTGCCACAGACCTGCTTACACTTGCCCCTACCCCTGCCCCCCAGTCCAGAGCTGTGGCTGTGGGATTGCTAGGCCTGCTCACACAGGCCAGGCCCCTCTCTAGCCCCACAAGCTGCCCCAAGGGGCTGCTCAAAAGAAGGCCGGCCCCAACCATCTGGTAGACTCACTGTGGGCTGCTGGGTAGCAACCAGGGACCTTGCGAGGGCCTGAGGAAGTAGAGCAACCCCAAAAGATGCCTTAGGTACCGAATATTTTGAGATGTCAATTAGGTTTCTACAAAGCCCTCTGGAAACTGGCACAGTCAGTAGAAATACATTGAAATAAATTAAGAAATATGCCAAATAACAGAAACACCTAGATTTTTACTGTCTTTATAAAAATAATACGAGTTACACCTCTCTCCAATTCACACTGCTTACCCAGGTCCTTGGCTTGACTATACGTCTCACTGCTGAGTTTTCTAAAAAATGGGTTTTCCTGGGTCAACAGTATCTTAACATCTTCCATTGTCACAGTAATAATTCTTGAATTAATAAATGGATACAATGTATATATTCCCTGTGGAAATAAAGAGAGATCACTGTGATGCCATTCATGAATGACAACAATCATCCACTCTCAGAGACCTTTTGTGTACAGTGTCCGGCCCTCACCACAGCCCCTGACCTTGGGCAGGTGCAGTACCCACCCCTCAGAGGGCACCAATGCCCTGGAGGAGCAGTAACTTGTGAGGGTCAAATGGCGAGCAGGTGCCAGTCAGCTCTGAGTCCTGCAGACCTCGTCTCACTGGCTAGAAAGCCCCGTTTGCTCCCAACTGCTTCACATTTATTCATGGCCAGTGCCATTCAAGTCTACTTCCAAAATTACCTCCTGCGCCAACCGGAAAGCACAATCAAACTCTTCACCACTGTTATTTCGACACCAGACTTTTATCCCTGTGTTAATAACCTGTAAGTGAAAAAAATCAGATAGAACACAAAGATAAACACAGGATAATTAAAACGATCCCTTGTACTATAAGGAGGCAAGGCTGTATGTAAGCCTGTTATTTCGACACCAGACTTTTATCCCTGTGTTAATAACCTGTAAGTGAAAAAAATCAGAGAGAACACAAAGATAAACACAGGATAATTAAAACGATCCCTTGTACTATAAGGAGGCAAGGCTGTATGTAAGCAGCTGCTGAAGGGGAGAGGGGAGGGAGAAACAGAAAACCTTTGAGAAGCCGCCTGCCTACAACGGGGGGCTCTCAAGACTGACTGATACTCGAAAATGGCTTTTGTTCACATGGCTCACAGAAACAAATAATTACCACAGTAGAAATTAAAACTGGGAAACTTTGAAAACACAAGAAAACACCAGCACACAAGCTGTCAAGGGCAAAGATGCTGTCACATGTAGTGTGTCCCCCCGCCACCCCTAGCAGACACCCAAGAGAGGAAAGTGAAAAAGGCGGATCACGTCTCAGCATCACTATGAAAACAATTCTCAGTTCATGAACCCCAGCTCATACTTGGCGATCTGCTGCACTAAATAAACAGGCGAAGGGGAAATGTACTAGAAAAGTAATGAAGTAAATAAAAAAAGAGTACTAAAAATGGCAAAATTCGAAGGAAAATGTTTGAAGGGATGAAATCACCAGGGCCCACAGGAGCAGTGGCGTCCAGCCTCCAAACCCTTTGCACTTTCTCTCCCAGGAGGACCAGCTGTGAGAACTTCACTGAGGCTCTCCCAGCTGGGAGAATGGCACAGAAAGGCCACCAGATCCAGGACTCTGGGAGGGACTGCTCAGCCCTGTGCTGCCAACAGCTCTGAAACCACAGGACAGGATCAGGGACCCTCAGCTGGGAAACAGTCACCTGTGACACAGAAGCACACCAGTCACCTGTCTGTGTGGCTCATACCTTCATCCTCTCGCTATTATTCAGCAGCACATTTCTCAGCTCCTTAGAAACCATGTAGAGTTGCCTTTTCTTCCCTTCTGTAGTCCGAGTTAACAAATTCATCTTTGGGAATGAAGGATCCAAAGCATAAAATTTTCTGTGAACAAAATAGTGCTCTTTTAGAAGTTTAGTTCAAACTTTGGGAGACTGTCTCTAAACCCCTTACTCTCTCCCTACAGAATTCAATATCTATTAGTGTGGTTTAAGGGTGGGCAGCTCTGCTCCAGACTCCCATCTTCTCAACCTAACCTACATTCACCTGAAACCTCCAGACAACACCTATTCGGGGCACAACTAGATCATGGACCTACATGAACAAGTGTAGCTTCTCCCCTCAACTGCCAGTCCTATGACAATGACCTGAGAACACTACTTTTGAGGCTTTTTAAGAGAGATTTTTACAAATGTATGTAAAGAACCAGTTATCAAAAAAAAAAAGTGGCCATTTTGGTCAATATATACTAAAATTTAATTAGTAGGAAACAGATGAAGCTGAGACTGTTATTCTAAGCACTTTCCTCCCTGCAGTGCCTATAGCAATCCTAATTAAGTTGTCCCCACCCCACCCAGACCTACTATGCTTCATTTCCCAAACAGGAACTGAATTGGGCAGCCTCGGGCCACTGGTCTTCTCTAAACTCAATTGAGTAGTTTATGTTTGGAATCACAGTCCAGAGTTTTTTCATCTCTCTATCATCTTTACCTTTGTACAGTTTCTCTTCCAACATAAATTGGAAAATTGACTAAACAATCTCTTAAGTTTCATCCTGCTCTAAAGGCAGTTAAAAAGGAAAAAACAAAAAAGAGAAAGCTATACACAGTTAAATATGAAACAATGGTTCAATGTGACCAGTTATGCATTTATTACTCTACAGTCAATTTCTTTATATAAAGTATTAAAAAGGATGAAATAATCCTTACTCAATAGGTGGAAATAACGGGTCATCTTCAGGAATAAACACAAATGGATCTTCTTTAAATCCAAATAACTTCATTTTCTTTGATGGAGGAGGACTAAGAAGGGAAGAAGGATGAGATAAATGAGTCTGTAATCTGGGAAATAATGTCAAATACCAAAAGCACATTCCTCCATTCCACCCAAGGCTCACCCTAGACCTGTGCACCTGGGGTTCTGTCCACGTCTCCTGTGCCCGGGCAGACATGGAAACCTCCTAACCCCCGCCACACACACACAGCACTCGCACAGCACGTGCGTTAACACCAAACGCAGACTGTGTTCTCAACCCACCGTGCAAGACCACTACGGCAATGGCTCTGGGACCTCATTTAGTCACAGAGGGCCGTGAAGACACTAGATCATTAGGACAGAGATATAACCTTTTTTCTCACCCACACACGCCATCTTTCTTATTGCCATTATTCTCTAAGTTTTCAGTTGTCTGAATTGTGTCTGGATCACCAGTTCCAGTGACTGATTGACTGTCCAGCTCGGAAGTGTCTGTGGGTTTTCCTTCTACGGCATCTGCAGAGCTCAACTGTGTGGTTTCTCTTATCTCTGCGGATTTACCCTGGAGCTGTCATAGGGGACAAGTCATTTAAACACAAAGAACAACATACTTTGCACTACTAAAAGAAAATTTAAAACAACAAGTTCACAAAAACAGTTATACAGTAGTCCTCCTTATCCAGTTTCACTTTCCACAGTTTCAGTTACCCATGGTCAACCATGGTCCAAAAATATTAAAAGGAAATCCACAGAAGTAAACAATTCTAAGTTTTAAATCTCATACCATCCTGCTCGGAGTGTGAATCATCCCTTTTCCAGCATATCCATGCCATCCACATATGCTACCTGCCCTTTAGTCACTAGTGGCCTTCTAGGTTATCAGATCAGAAAAACACAGTACATTTGAGGTTCAGTACTATCCGTGCTTTCAGGCATCCACTGAGGGTCTCAGAACGTATCCCCCCGACAGGAAAAGATTACTACACTACACAGCATCATATACTCAAAAAGTTCATAGATTCATATTATATTTTAATCCCATTTTCCCACAAACTTTTTGAAGTACCCATGTACATTAAAAAAGACAGATTTTTTTTTAATGTGTCATTTTAAATCCATTTGCCATTATAAATGAATTCATGAGTACTGTTTTCTCGGGGTTAAAGATCATTCTACCTTAATCCCATAAAGAGCATACCCAGGCTCTTTCTTAGTGGAGGCGTACATCATCAGCTTGTTTTGATCTAAAAATGCTGACTGTGCCTCTGCTCTGTGTAAGGGACAACAAAGGACACAAAGCACAAGTCAAACATGAGTACTAAAGTATTGGGCAGGGGCAAAAAGACAAGTACATAAATAACAGCAACGTAAGAAAGGAAGGTGAGCACGGTCCCAGACTGTCTGGATGAACTGCTATGAATTAGGAGAAAGACAAAGCACATCTCCAGGAACCAAACACCTGTTGAATCAACTTCTGTTTTAGGGCAATAATTTGAATTTGGATTTGAAAATAAAATATTTTACTTATATTAAAAAATCTCTGAAAAACATGTGTCCTTTCTAACAGGTCACAAGATTGGTAAAAGCAGTGAATTCCCAGTCCCTATGAAATAAGTTTATAAGCTGGGGTACTTCAGCACAAGGCAAGTTCCAAATTTTCCCCGAGGTCACAAACCTAATAAGTGGAGGAGCTGGGATCTGATTCACAGTCTGAGATACTTAGCTCTTAATACTATGAAACACTGCCTCCCAGACAATTTGTTCTATTTTTATGTTAAAAACAAACAAACAAACAACAGAACAGAAAATCTCAAGGCTCTGGACAAGGTTAGTGATGGTATACATCCTTTCTATCCTAAGCTCTCTTCTCGAAATGTGGCCTTCTTTCACAGAGCTGGTCTCAAAGATTCTCCATGATGCTTTCTCTGTCCACCTCAACAATCTAATACTGCCTCTCTGGAAATACCAGAGGCACATGTCAGGAGGAGTCTCCCTGGCTTGAGCTGCAGCTGTGTGTTAACCTGCCTCACTACTTCAACAAGATGATGGCACCTGACAACAAAGACTCTTTCTGCGTTATCAGTAAGGACCCCAGCAGCAAAAGCGAGGTGCTAGCACGCAGGGCAGGTGAACAAAACATATCTATTGAACTAAATGAACAGAAACTGGCATAACAACAGAAAAGGGAGAGAAGTACTAACACAAGGCAGCTTCAAAAGTTATGGAAGGATTTGCATTATCTTTTAATTCGATTTTTCCACAAACTTTTTGATGTACCCTCACACTTAAGTGAGTAAATGACAGCAAGTTGTTCTAAAAAGTAAGACCACATCAGTGGCGAATTGATGGAAAAGTCAAAACCCTTTTACACAGGTAGTAACCTGACAAAAATGTCAATGTAGTCCCAAATGCAAGTGAATCTAAAGTACTATACACATATATAAGATAGGCTCTGAACCTGTGCTATGCAGTTCTGTAGCTACTGGCCACATGTGGTTACTAACCAATTAAAATGTGACTAGTGCAAAGCAGGATGTATCTTAAAGTGTAAAACACATGCTATTGTTAAAACTTAGTATGAAAAATGCAAGTATCTCATTAATAATTTCTTATATTGATTACATGAAAATAGCACTTTAAATACACTGAAATAAATAGAAGGCATTATTAAAAGTAATTTCACCCTTTTCTTAATGTGGCTGCTAGAAAATTTAAATTACACATGTGGCACCCATTCTACTTCTATTAGAAACCCTGCTCCTGATCTAAACATCCACAGCTCTACTCTTGAGAGGGAAAAGTGGGATTCACCAGAGTTAAGATACTACATGAAGAGACTTTCAGACTCAAAATAAAATGTTTTCTAACCTAATAGGAAAACCATTGTGACTTTGCACCACATGTGCAGCTTCTCCCATTAACCAGTTTGAGGCTGTACATTCAAATGTTAATCTGGACTAGTGGTGCCCTAGAGGACTGCTGGAACTCTTTGAGGAATCGTTTCCTTTCTGTTTGTCCAAAGGCTAAGTGTTACTTGTCCTAATTATCAAGTTAATGGAAGTTAAAGAAATACAGCTTTCAGACTTTGGTTCCAGGTCATGTTCTACAACCATGAAAGGCTGACTTATGAGCAAATACAGTAACACCAGGGCTGATAAAGACGAGGACAGCACACGGTAAGGGGACCGTGTGTCAAGACTAGAAGGATGCTTTTTCTTACCCGCTCTGCTTCGTGCCATCCCTAAGAAAGGAACCAGCAGGCAGTTTTGATTCATTACAAACGAATGAGGTCACAGCTTTTTAGCCAGGCCTGGACGCAGTCTTTCAGTACTCCTCATAGCCAAGGGGAAGACGGGCTGGCCCAAGGTCAGTAGAGTTCTGTGATTTTTTCACTAATACTGCCACAATCCGCTGAAATGATCCACCCACAAGGTACTGGAGCACAGAAGCAGGGGAGTAGGACCTTCAGCTTCTGAGCCGGAGAGCAACCTTTATATCTTTTCAATTTGTATTAAATAATTGGATTTAAGATGTAGAGGGAACACGTTTTCCAAATACCATCTTTTCCACTTATCTATCCCCTATGAGAAATTTCTGCCTTTTGGAAAACTTCAAATTTAAATGAATTTCCCCTTGTTCAGGCTCAGTTTTGTATTAAATAATTGGATTTAAGATGTAGAGGGAACACGTTTTCCAAATACCATCTTTTCTACTTATCTATCCCCTATGAGAAATTTCTGCCTTTTGGAAAACTTCAAATTTAAATGAATTTCCCCTTGTTCAGGCTCAGTCCTCTCTATCCCCACCCCACCCCACCCTGAAAACCTCTTTCCCTCTGCACTTCTACTGAACTCCTGTTAGCTTTTAACTTAAATGTACAAAAAGATCAAATATTATGTTATTTTGAGAAAAAAATCTTACCTTTGGTTGACGTTTATTCCATGGCATTGAAGATTTTTTCACTAATACTGCCACAAAGAACCCTCCAGTATTCTGATGATGTGGCAATATTCTAAGGCTAAAAAACAAAATAAAACAATATATATATATAAATTGATCCAAAATGCATTCTTTTAGTATTAAGGCAAATACAAAGATGATCTGAGAGAAAAGCCACATCTTATTGTAAATAGTAAGACAACCCTCACTCACAGAGGCGCCAATATGTAATCTTTAAAAAATTCATGAAGTATCCATTTAGGTTCTAACCAATTTCACTACTTATAAACACTTGATGCCAGTGACTAATAGGCACCGAGAACGTCTTACTTGCTGGAAGGTTTGAACATGTGAGGTTGGCCAGGGTGCAGGTCAGGCCTTGCATCCACATTACCTGCTACCTCTAACTCAAACCAACAAGGCCACTCAGCTCATCAGAGAACTCAACCTTACCCACCTTCCCAAACCCTGGAGAGCCTCACAAACTTACCACCGCTCCAGGTGCATTGCCTGTAACTTTTCCAGGTCCTTTGGTGTGAACATGGTAGGTCGAATTTGGGTATGTCTGCTGTGAGGGACACTATCCCAGTCTGCAAACCACTGTCCATCTTTCGTCATTACCTGCAAAACGAGCGGGCACATTTCTACATTAACAGCACTACCTAATAATAAGAAAACTCACAGGGGACTACTATAAATACTCTCAAACATAACAAAAGGTGATTCTCGTGCTCTCCAAAGACAGGAAAACCATATGCAAAGATAAAAACGAAAACAATCTTTCTAGAAGTTCCCCAAATTACATATAAACAAAGATGAAGACATTTTCATTCCAAAAACCATGACAAATAAAAGAACATTTTCCACACATTTTTTTTTTCCCTTTCATACAAGCCTCTGTAAACAGAATTGTTTCATACTGGAATCAAAGCTTGAATCCCAGCCCACAAAAACGTAAAGCTATACTTAAGGGAATGAGAATAAGAAAACTGGCTTCTACAGGTGGAATAAAGGCAAAAAAACTTCCATTGCCAGAGGAACGCATTTGTATAATCATACCATTAGTCATTAAATATAATTTTGAAATTGATAAATTGCATAACCAGGTAATATTTATTCAAGTTATCTAAATGTGAATCCTTTAAAATTTTTATGACTCTAAGTCTGTTAAGCTTTCCCTGCTCTTTTGAATTAGTTGCCACAGGCTAGCTGGTTATTAGCTCAGTTGTTTAGAGCACTATGTTTTAACACCAAGGTCAAGGGTTCAGATGCCCACACTGGCCAGCTGCCCCAAAAAATAAAAGTTGCCACAGAAAGATTACCTTCCACTGTGTGATTCCAGGCATCCATTTCAGTCCTGGCAATTCAGAAGACACATCAGCAAGCTCCAAAGCACCTATATAGCAACAACAAGAGGTTGTTTTTTCCCCCCCAAAAAGGCATGGCCCAGTGAAAGAAGCCAGACACAAAAGATCATGTATTACATGATTCCATTTATAGGAAATGTCCAGGGAGGGCAAATACAAGTACAACAGAAAGTAGATCACTGGCTGCCTGGGGCTGAGACTGGGGTGGTATATACCAGTTAGATGATTTGGGTCTTCCTGTCTTTATGTCAAACATCCCAGAACCGAAAGGCAACACTTAAAATGAACTTTGGAAATTTTTAAACATTCAGTTTTAGGTCCCAATAAGTTTTCTAAAACTGTCTATGAGGACACAGACCAATTTTAGAAGAAATGGAAAATAGTTGTGAAAACACACTCTGACCTTAAGTGTCTAAAACAGTGACATTATAAGAAGCTTTACAAAATGAGAGCCATTAGAGGAAATCTTCTAAACCAGCTACTATCACAGATACCGATTTGACAGCCTCACAGAAGAGGAAAATCCAACAAAGCTTCATGGACAAGCTATGAAAATGTGAACAGTTATATAAACAAAGCAAAAGAACCCTCGAGGTAGACATGTAACATTAAGAAACCTTTCATGCCAGTACCTTACTTCCTTCTATTATTTCTGAATATTCTTCCTTTTAAAAGCTAACATTAAATAGGAGTGCAGGTACACAGAAACTGGTGTTTTCAACTAAACACTGCTCAGGGGCCTCATAAATGAGGAGGGGGGCCTCAGGAGTGACCTCCTGCCAGCACCTGGTTAGAAGCTGCCAACACTGTGCAGCATTTATAGAACACGTTTATCAGCTGATATTGGAATGCTAAGTGAAAAAGTACAGTATAAAATTTGGAGAGACACAATCAAAACTTTTCAGCACAGTAAAGTTGCAAACTAGAAGACAATGTTGCAAAAATCAATGCAGTTACTTGAAGGAAAGGAATACATAATTTTTTTTCTAAATAAGAAAGCCCTCAAACATAAAACCAGCTGGCCTAAAAGTACTGCCTGATCTCTGAAACCTCCTCTGTGGAGGCAGAGGCAAGCCCCTACCAAGAACTCCCCCCAACAATGACCCCCTCATGGTATCTCCCCTGGGACCCTGGAGAGCTAAAATGATTCCTGAATTTGGATGAAGAACTTGGCATACTGTCTGCTTTCTCCACTTTCTCCTCCCAGTTTTACACGGGAGACTGCCCTTAGAACAAAGGTCTACCATACACCACTGTCTAGCACTTCCTGTGAACTGTGAAGGGGAGGGAATAAGCCTAATTTGAAAGATCAGTATTTGAAAGCACATTTATCAGCTCTGTTAGTAACGAAGATGTAATTCTGGCCTTAGTCTGCCCTGCTCTGTTATCTTGTCAATTGGTTCAGAATCTGGACAGGGAAACAGGGTGTTATTTACTGGGCTCTCAAGACACCTTCCCACTTCTCAAATATGCATGTGGAGATAAAGCGAGCTATAGCCTAGAAATTCAGTGAAGTCTGAAAGATTCTCGAGTCCGCTCAGACAAACAGCCATAAGATCCTAAACATACAAAAAGGAAAAGCCAATCTGAGAATCGGAAAGACCAACGGAAATCCACAATTAAAAGAAGTTTTGGACAGGAAGAGGATATGCCCATCAGCGCCACATGACTCTCCCAACATCTGCCTGTCCCTCTTCACCATCCCCCCGCCTGCAATATTTTCACTTTCTTTCTGGAGCTGCAGCTCTCCCCCACTCCACTTTGCACTGGATCGCTCCTGCTCAGTCTTAACCTCTAACTGGTTGCAACATGTGTGAGATTTTCTTTACTCACCCACCACACATCAGTGGGTTTTCAGGAGAATGATGCTTCCCTGCTGTTGCAGTAAACAGACCCATGGGACTAAGAACTAGAACTTGGATTCAGTCTACTTTTAGATGACACCCTCTTACCTAGGCTATTCTTTCAATAAGGTGGCACCTTCAGGAAACAAATGATGATGGCAGAAAGCACATGGAGCTCCATAAAACAGCTAGCCCATGGAGCACACAGGTTTGTTCTCTGTTTGAGTGGGGACCATTTCGTGGAAATAAGGTATGTGAATGGCAAACATCTCAAACGTAAGAAGGCAGAGCTGGGCAGGCACGAGGTGGAACAGCAAGCAGTGCAGGCAGAGAACGCCGCCACCGTAAGTTACAGCAGACCTGGTGATGACAAGGGCCTTTTTTCTCCTAAGTAATCAGGAGACCTGGCCTTTGGCCCCGCCATAAGCTTAAAACAGAAAAAGGAACAACAATTACATAGAGTATTTAATCAGGCAGCAGAGACTTACCAAATGCTTAGAGAATCTACAAAAATTTTAAGCAAAGCATTCCAAGATGAGGCTATGACCATCTACTCCAAGTCAAGAAAACTGTTCACCAAGAAACCAGAGGAAGTCATTTTTTAAAAAGACAAAGGGCACTAGTGAAGAAAGCAGTTTGAGAACCCACAATACTGGAATTAACCCTCAAGTTTGAGTAGTGAATAGCAGCTAAGTGTGAAAATAGTAGGTGCACAGTTAATTTTCTGTTTCTCAGAGATGTAAGACCAGACAGTGGCGTGGCAAGGGACACATGAGGTATTTGTGTTGTTCAAGCTACCTGAAATCAAATTTTTCTACATTCCTAGCTAATGCAAACAAAAATCTGATAAGGATTCAATAGTTTTAATATCTGACCCAAAATACCTGTAGGTATGATTTTACTACAGTTAAACCAACTATTAAACTATATCTTCCATAGTTCTCCTCACACACCTTTTGAAATAAAGGAGCACCTAAACCATGGAGATCACTACCATACCAAAAACATCATTCAGAAATTACATCTTTATGTAGGTCTATGTAAGCATGGGAAAATATAAGAATTGGGAAACAAAATAAACACAACATATAAATTCCAGTCTAAAGGACTCAAAAGGCATGAATAATCAGGGGGCTTACAGCAGAGCCCAGACCAGTCAGCCACTGGGAGAACCTAACCTTCGGGACAGCAGGTGATGGACACCGCCTCAGGAAACACACGCGTATTTCACTAGTTATGTTTCAACTTCCTTTACACACACGGGTGCAGAATATTTGGTACCATTCTATTATGGAAACACAGTAAGTTTGAAATTTCTCATTATTTGCTTCAAGGAGAAAAATTTCTCATTTACTTTAACATTTCAGCAAAACATAAAAGGAGAAATAATATTATTTTGTATCAAAACATTATGAAAATTGCTGTTTCAGAACATTTTATACTATCTGTCTGGTCCCTCAGTATAAAACAGTGTGATAAGACCTCACACCCATTAGGATGGCTACTAACGACAACAACAACAACAAAACAGAAAATAACAAGTGTCAGCAAGGATGTGCAGAAACCAGAACCCTTGTGCACTATGGGTAGAAATGGAAAATGAAGCAGCTGCTATGGAAAACAGTACGGTGAGGCCTCAAAAAATTAAAGACAGAATGACCATATGATCCAACAATTTCACTTTTGGGTATACGTCCAAAAACATTGAAAACAGGGTCTCAGTGAGATGTACACCCATATTCATAGCAGCATTATTCATAATAGCCAAAAGGGGGAATGAACCCAAATATCCACTGACAAGTGAACAGGTAAACAAAATATAGTTTATACATACAGTAGATTATTATTATACAGCCTTAAAAAGAAAGGAAATGTTGACATATGCTACAACATGGATGAACCTTGAAGACATTGTATTAAGTGAAATAAGCCCGTCACAATAAGACAAATACAGTATGATTCCACTGCTATTACCTAAAATAGTCAAAATTATAGAGACAGAAAATAGGATGGTGGTTTCCAGGGGTGGGGGAGAGAAAATGGGGAGTTTAATGAGTCCAGAGATCCAGGCTTGCAAGAGGAAGTGCTCTGGAGATGGACAGGGGTGATGGTTACACAAGAATGTGAATATACCTACCTAACACTACTGAACTGCACACTTAAAAATGGTTTATGTTGTGTATATTTTATAGTTTATGTTGCGTATATTTTACCACAACTAAAAATCAAACAAAAAAATACAGTGTGATGAGGATCTGACATAATCTTTTAAACTTAGAAAAACAAAAGTGGCAATGCTCTGTTTGTTTCCAAACCACCAAATTCCGAATAACTCACAAAATATGACAAGTCCATTATATAAACATGTTTTTAAGAAGAACCTCTCATTTCAGGGGTTATGATTACAGATTAGTAATATAAGCAAATGCCCAGGAAAAGGTTTATAGAAATACATAATAAAGTTTTACTTACCCATGTAGCTGCAAGCTATTTAAGGTGGTCCACTTTTTCCAAACATCAATGTTTTTTCTCATAGTGCCATCTCCACTGGGAAGAAAGATATTTAAGAATTTAAAACTCTATACAAATACATGATTAAAGTTTAACAGATGTTGTAGTCAAGCTAAATTACAGAATAGGTAATATAAATACCAGTTAGAAAACAATCTGAATTTTCACAAACTACAATCAATTCTCTTTATTTTAGAAACCCTCAAATATATTACACTTTTTAATTATACTTCAATTTTCAACCAAAAAGAAAATAATAGACTTGAATAGGAAACCCCACTCAACACTTAAAGAGATATTAATTTGCTTCCATCTGGGAAAAGTACCAGCAAAATTAATCTGCAGACCTAGGACACAGAACTTTGAATACTACTATTTAGAAATTCAGTTAATCGACAATGATAATCTAATCAGATAAATAACTCTCATAAATGATTTTCCACAGCAAATTCAATTAAACCAATGTAATATCTTTAACTAAATTTTTCCTACAGTCACAGTTAAACATTTTTGACTTTCTATTTTTATTTAATGAAAATTATTCTCATGTTTTTATTAACGGAAACTATTTCCATGTATATTTTATAATAAAGACTTGATTCATTAATCTTCTGTCTCTGTCTAATTTTATCTACCCGGTTTTTCCAGGAGTAATTCCTGCCTTTGTTGGCTTTCTCTGTAAAGTTTAATTTTCCTTGGTGGTCTGGTCACATGTGCTTGAAGTGAAAAAGGATCCACAGGATGGAAATGTCCTATGAGATATAGTTCCTACTTTCAAATGACATCCCTGGCTGTATGCCATTGGCTTGTATGGTGAAAACGCCAACATTACTTCAGGAATTTCTTTAGCTTATAATCTACTGTTCACAAAGTCACTTCGTTCTCAGAACATGATACAACAAATGGGTTATATTTCTGATCACTTGAACACAGGGATAGGAAAGCATAGAACTCCAGGGAAAACTAGAAAACTGCAACCTAGAAAAAAAGGAATTTAGTTCATGACCTATTTTAAATTTTACTTTAAAAAGGAGTTTTTCAGGTATTACTTGAACACAGGGATAGGAAAGCATAGAACTCCAGGGAAAACTAGAAAACTGCAACCTAGACAAAAAGGAATTTAGTTCATGACCTATTTTAAATTTTACTTTAAAAAGGAGTTTTTCAGGTATTTTAACACTCAGCCATATTCAGTGCTACCAGCTGCAATTTTTCTTTCTTTTTTGGCAGCTGGTGGGTATGGGGATCCAAACCCTGGACCTTGGTGTCACCTACACCATGCTCTAACCAACTAAGCCAACTAGCCAGCCCTACTGGCTTCAACTCTCAGAGTTCTGCCACACACAATAAATCTGCCACTTGTTTAAATAAAATGGAATTCTTCTGTAATGAGGCACCATATCTAAACACCATGTTTAGTCCTAACAAGTTTTGTGGCAGTTTTTGAACTCGTCTCAACAAATCTATTTTTCAAAAAGTATTTAAACACCTGGGATCACCATTCATACACTGCCTCTGGGAACTAAACAGACGTCTTTAGCTGTGTTTTTCTTTTCCTTTTGGAAAAACTGTTATTTAGTTATGCCACGAAATTCTTTTATACATACACTCTAAATATTTAAAATTTGTTAATTATAACTTGAAGGTATAAACACACAGATAAAATGAGTTTCTCAAAACTTTTAAAACATTTAAACTACAAAGTTTCTTTTATTATACTAAATAACATAAAACTTATCACAAAAACCCAATGTGATTACGTATTATTTTATGACAAAGTTTTTTTACATACTCATTGAAAGAACAAATAGAAATACCTGAGATACACAAACCATTCCAAGCAATAATATCCTGAAATCCACCACAATGAGAGTTTACAATTCTGTTTTCCTCTCAGGTATTTTCTTTATATCTTTTTAAAGACTATCTATCCAATCATTCCTTTCTGTATCTCTGTTCCGTATCCCACATCTGCTGGGCCATTTATCACTAAAACTCTGGGCATCCACCCGCTGGCCAGGCTCACCACTTCTCCCTCTTTGGACTTACCTGTGGCCACAGGAATCACCTGTACAATTATGCGTGTATTTGTGCACAGCTTTACTTTAGTCTATATCTGAATTGCTTGCCTTAGTGGCTTTTGGGCTTTTTGTCCTCTTAATAATATAAATACCTGCAAGGAACGTCGCATAAAATTCGATCATAGAAAAGAATCTCTTTCCTTCCGTCCACATCTATTTGGAGTCTCGGTATGCTGGAAGCATCGTGGTTTACTACCATGATGCAGGGACTACTTAACCTCTTGGCCTGATGAACGAGCAGATAGCAGCGCTTGTTGTCCACATCATTAGCAATAACAAATCCCTCTAAGAACATAAAATTGCAGTGTGAGGTGAAACAGCATAAGTGGAATAATTTTCTGAAACACATAACCTCTAGGTCAACAAGTAAGAAGCAGCAATCCACCAAGCTTAAGACCCAACATCAAGATTGTGTAGAAATCCGTAAGTGATCCAAAAAAAGGAACCAGTTGGCTCTGTACGGACTTTATGGACACATAAAATTTCAAGACCTCAAGATTCATGTGTTCAATAATTATTCACTTTGTACCAATTTCTGTGCCAAAAATGTGCTTCATTAGTAACTATCAATTACAAAAGAGAGTGAAAAGAGAAAGGTGTAGAAACAACAGAATTGCCTGAGAAGTGTTTTAAAATACTGCATATGTGCCAGGGCTCTGTTCTAGACTGTGCAGACACCTGGGGTAGGGTGTAAACACCTGAATATGTCAGCTATTCCTGGGAGACTCTGACTGGTCCCTTGGGCTAAGAACTACTGCTAGCAAGGGAAGTGTGTGATGCCTCTGCTCATTTCTGGTTCCTCTCACAACCCAGCAAAAAGGGCAAATATGTTTATAACATTTTTGATCAAGATCACTCCTTGAAACAATATGAAATGCAAAACATCAATTATACAAAGAGGAGAAATTTCTCCTGCTAGGAAAACAAAGCTCTTTACTACTGATTTGGAGAAATAATTAAAAACAGGAAAAAATAAAGAAGGTTTTTTGACAAAGATGTTACCATTGGGTAATATAAGAAAATAGGACTTTAGAGTAGTTGACTTTAAAAAAAAAAAAAGGAAGAATGAGATGAAGGCTGACTCTAACACACACTATGGACAGCATTTCTTTTCACTAAAAAGAATCCCTACAAAGGGGTACGAGTGACATTATAATCAGCTGTCATTTTCTGAGCATTGTGAAATCTTGTAATATCCCCGCAAGGTAGGCACTGATACCCCGTTTCATATGTGATGTTTAATACCATCACATTACTTGCCTATTAAATGGTGGTGAAATTTGAACTTAGGGGGTCTAACATCAGCTTTAACAACTACATTCTAGAGCCTCTCACATAAGGCACTTAAGTAATCAAAAAGTGGGGAGGGAGGACTAGGGGGAGAACTGTTACTACCGAAAATTCAAACGGTGAAATCTATCCACTATACGTAGGCTTGATAAAGAAACACCATTTGCTTTTACAGAAAACACACAATGCTAAAATATAGGGACCCCAAAATATAAGTGTATTGGCTTGAGAACTATTGATTATAATGTGCAAACATATCCTGTTCTACTTTCAGTAGATAGAAAATCCATCTGATTGTCACAGGAGACTTCACACCCCAATTAGCAGGAAATGTTAGGATCTTATCCTCATCTACAACCCACCAAAGCAGCATTCCTACCTTTCCAAAAACAAGTCCAATGCATACCTGGAAAAGGGACATTCATGTCGGCATGTAGCATTTCAATTAATTGTGTGGTCTTTGAGCCAGGTGCTGCACACATATCTAGGATCTATTAAAGCAAAAAAATGTTTGATGTTTTTAAGTCAAATATTCTACATTTAATTTAAAACAATTTTTTGAATCATTCTAGTTCTCTGATTTCTATTCCTAAATATATTTCCTAAATACATTTCCTAAACGTATTCCTTAAGACCTAAATACATTTCCTTATAGAATGAATCTATAGCAAGACATATTTTACTTACAGGGATCCCATAGTATATAATGCCTCCAAAATCACAGAATGATAAAGGTAGTTTCCACAGAGGTTGGTAACAGAACAGCAACAGAAACCAGTGAAAGCCACAAATTTAGGGATGAATAAGCAAGTACTGTGATAATGTAATGCTAAGGGACAGAGCCATCTGGGCTCCAACCTCAGCTCAGCCACATACTAGCTCTGTAACCTTGGGCCAGTTACCTCACTTCTTTGTTTCCTTCTCCTCAGCTGGAAAAATGAAAACAGTGATGGCATCTACCCTCAGAGGGTTGTGTGGATGATTACATGAATTAATTCACACAAAGAGCATAAAACAATGCTTGGCATATAATATAATGAGCTCTCAATACATGTTCACTATGATTTTCAACCTGATTCAGCCAATTAAGATCACTGAAGATAATCTGTAAACAAATTAATAAACTTTAAAAGAGGAGAAAATAGTTATCTTAATTATAAACATTTAATTTGACAAAAATGTAAAAAAAGAACCTAAAATAAATTGTTCTCTATCCAAAGTAAAAAAAAAAAAAAAAGAGAGATTAATTATATTTTAAAAAAAAAAGGTTTCAACAAAACAAATAGGACACCAAAAATGTAAAAAAAGAACCTAAAATAAATTGTTCTCTATCCAAAGTAAAAAAAAAAAAAAGAGAGAGAGAGATTAATTATATTTAAAAAAAAAAGGTTTCAACAAAACAAATAGGACAAACATGGGGTTCTGCCTGTGTCTTTTTACATGGCCTTTTTTGTATAAGGACACCAGTCATATTGGATTAGGACCCACCCTAATAACCTCGTTTTAACTTAATTACATCTGTAAAGACGCTATTTCCAAATAAGGTCACATTCTCAGGTACTGTGGGTTAGAACACAATATATCTTTTGGTGGGACACAATTCAACCCCTAATACTCCCCGTGTATTTCTTTGTCACACACACCTAGATCACAGTGTCAAAAAGTAATGGAGAGGGCCGGCCCAGTGGCGCACTGGATAGTGCGCCGCTTAGGAGGCGCGGCAGCGCTGCCGCCCGAGGGTTCGGATCCCACATACAGACCGGCTCCCGCTCACTGGCTGAGCGAGGCGTGGGAGCAACACCGAGGTTTGCAATCCCGTTGCCGGTCCCTGGTCCGGTACGGGGGCAACACTGAGGGTTGCAATCCGTTGCCGGACACGGAAAAATAAGACAAAAAGACAAAAAAAAAAAAAGTTTCATTTTATAAGATAAATTAAAAAAACCTAAACTCCACTAGCACTAACATGGTCTAAAAAACACTTTACTTTACATGTACGAAAGGCATCTGGAATGTGTGTCTAAGAAGGAAATGACAATAGACTAAGTAACTGTCTCCCAAATAACACGCTATCAAGCAAAGTGCTGTGCTCACCTCAATTCTACAGCCACCCAAAGTCTCTAGTGAGAGAAAACAACAAATCAAACTGACAACTTGAACTGATATCCTCACTAAATTTCATGTTTGGACAATTTCATGTTTAGGTAGCATATATACAAATAGTCAGAAAGTAAAAGTGGTGAGTACACTTACAGGTGTCCTTACTGTGTGCCTTAACTACCTATTGCTTCCAGTGACAAGTATAGTATACATATAACTATCATACATCTGTGCATTTAAAGCTTTAAGGAAAGCAACATATCTAAAGAAATCTACTTACAGATTCAGTTTCGCTAACCAGAAACTGATGAAACTTTTCTAGCTGTGGAGACTTTCTCAAAATTTTTCGACTTAAATTGGTGTGCCAGGCAAGTTCTTCAGGATACCTGACCAAAAAGAAAGTAAAACATTTATGGATTACATATATAACCAAGAGCCTTCTTGACAACTTGTTTATAAAAGTCATATACCAAACAAGACACCCAATTTTGTTCTACTTGCTTATATCCAGAATCCTCTCATGTAGTCAGCAACACTCAACGATGTCCCTGGGGGCACAAGGAGCACCACTCTATTAACTACGCCGCAGCCCAGTCAGAAACGGGGGAGTGGGGAGGGGGTGTTATAAGAGATATATGCATATGACGTTACTTTAAAACCATGAGGATGAGATGTTCAAGATCCGATGAAAAAGTGGAGACTCCTCTGTGCTTTACTATGGTAAGTGAACAATGCCATAGTTTCTTTTCATTAGGAAAAAAGACATAAGATAATAAATTACTTAAAGATGACAAATTACTTAAAGAACTATGATTGCAGAAAATCAAAACAACATGCAGTAGGGCAGGTGTTGAAATGTTTGACAAACATTTGGTTAGAATTTTTTAAAAATATATTTTTCATTATTTCTACAACAAACCAGCTTAATAATGTACTGAAATGTCTCACATACCCAAAAAAAAGCCCTTGGAAACCATCACTCCATGAGTGAATTAGTTTAGACTCAAGGTTCATTGTCATCTACACAGATCTAAGAATGAAGCATCTCCTGCCATTTCTGTGAATATATTTGAACTCTCCGCAGCCTGTACCTATCTACTAATCTGCAACTGAACAAATGAATACAATGAGGCGATTCATGGCGCCTCAATCAATTAATCCAACGCCTGTCTAAGCATCACATGTCACACGATGATAAATCTTACTGCAGCTTTAGCGCTCATCGTTAAGTCTGAGGTGCAGTAATGAGCTCAATTTAACAATGCAGGGTCAACCTCTCCATACATCAAATTGTAGCTAAAGTGTTCCGGAATTATGAAAATAAAATTGGAATGTTTGGAAAACACAAATACATTTGAGTGTTTTGAAACTTTGGTTGATTATCTAACAGGCCTTAAATGTTTAAGACACTGCTCAAGAGTCATAATAATATTACAAGATACATTTGAAAAGTATTTTCTACCAGATGATGATTAAACTGCCTGAATCTGTTCATGGCCACCCTCTCAATGATTATCTAACAGGCCTTAAATGTTTAAGACACTGCTCAAGAGTCATAATAATATTACAAGTTACATTTGAAAAGTATTTTCTACCAAATGATGATTAAACTGCCTGAATCTGTTCATGGCCACCCTCTCAAAGTGTTTTGATTCTATTTCCTATGTCTGGCTCCCTCTTCAATGTTTAACTTGTTTAAAAAATATAAAGCCAGAATAAAATCATATTTATCAGGCAATTTAAAACAGAATTTAGTCTAAAGACAAAGTAGTAGAGATACACTCAAATTTGGCTTTCCACTGTAGTATTCAGCAAAATCTGCTGTACCATTGTGACCTCTATTTGTGAATAGCCAAATGGCCACTTTTACATAATTTCTGGCAACCCTGAACTTGCCTGTGATCAATTACAGTACAATCATGGAAGTTACCACCTTACTAAATCACCAAAACATCAATATGAATACCGCATGCCACTTAGATTTATTGTAAATAGCTGAATTTTCATTTTCAAATACAGCAGTCTAGTTTAGTTCATTCAAATTTAGCTTATGAGTCTTATTTATGACTTTTTCAAGCATAAATGTACCACTGTCACCTTTGCACATCAGAAATTCTCAAGGGGGAAAAACACTTTTACACATCTATAATAAGATCTTCAATCCAGACATTAAAAAGAACATGAACAGAAACCCAATAAGAAACTGTGTTTTCAACAACTGACCGTAAAAATAAGGCTTTTATTAGAATACTCTAGGACAATTCTTTACCGTTTTGAGTCTATGGAAAGTAAGGAAAAAATGAAATCTGCCTGAGCTATGCACAAAACAGTTCTGAAATACACCTCCCTAAATTATATTCCACTACATACCAATGGGTTAGGAAGAATATATGATCTGTTTTTGCATTTTGAGCAGTACAGACCACCACCAAAAGTCCTGGAAAGTTTCTGCTTTCCTTGATTAAGAGATTTATGTGTATTCCACAACTTACAAGAGAATTTGATTGAATAAATATTTATAGAAAAAAGCTGTCAAGAAACTCAGTGACGATGAAAAAAGTTGAGTACTATATTGGGAACTGATATCACACAATGTTTTGTTCACACTCATCAGTTGTGTGTTCAGAAAATTAAAGCAAAAAAATAATGTACGAGTCACTGGCTGTTGGCAGAAAGTGACTCAGTTTCATTCTCCAACTACAGACAACCTAGGTTTTGGAACTGCTTTGTCAGGTACCCATGCATAAGGTGCAACAACATGGAAAAGCAGCTGTTAAATGTTAAAAGGCTGACCAAAGCAAAAATTTAACTGTAGTTTGCAGAGAATAAAAAATGGCAACTTATTAACAACCCATGGTTTCTCAGATTTTTGGAAACTGCAGAAGAAATTGACCACAATAATGTGCCTGGAGAGCATACCTCCTTCCCTACAGACGCGTGCTGAAATGCTCCTATTTATTGGCTGAGAACAGTGGACAGAAACTTCCTCTTGCCTTCCTTACCTCATCACTGCACTTCTAGACACAGGTTTAAGGAACAAATGTTTTCAGGTGATTGTCTGAAGCAGCAAATACATGCAAAACTACTAGAAACAGAAATGTGCCCAAGGACAACCTTAAATCTGCTTTTGAAAATATCAGACATCTACTTCAAGCAATTCACAAGCAACAGTATCATCCATCAAATCCTCAAACCAAGACATTCAAGAGGAGATAAATCTACAGCAGTTACTACAAGGGAGAAAAGCTTTAACCCAAAAGGCCACCTCATCTCATATTCAGCAACCACAGCAGCTGAATAACATCTTCCTTTTCCACTGAACTCAGTACAGTGGACATGCAATTAGTAACCACCAACAAAAGCCAGCAACTGAGTCATTTACCTGTAATGTACCTTTCAAGCTTTTAAAATCTGAATAAAATGTGTAATTTAAAAAACCATCATTGAATTTTTTTTGCAGATTTACTGTTGTATCTCAAAAATATATTGGGTGACATTTGGGTTCGATCTTGGCTGAATTTAGTGTTTGACCACTCAGCATTCGCTCTAAATGTAAACGCTGTGCATGTCTGTGACACAGACACTGAAAATCTAAATGCGCAATGAGAGAAAAGCAAATTTATACCCCAGGATTAATGAAAACCAAATCTTGCTTTGTGATCACTGAAGGGTATCTAAAAAGGAATGATAATGTCATGAACTGAAATAATCAAAACCTCAAAAGCTACCAGAAAATACTTTGCTTCTTAAATTTACCTTTTTATAGCAATTACTTGAAGTAATTTCTTTGTGTGAGAACTTTCAATCCCTCAAGGTTAATCATCTGAAATATGGAACTATAACAATTTCCTTCACTGACTTTTATGTTTATGTTAACTGAGGGCTTGACATCTCCAGCCTGTGCTCTAGTACTCCTGGCATTTTACAAGATAGCCTCTGCAGCCAGCACAAAGGATACCTTCACACAACTGAGACTTGAACTGGGCCATGAGAAACAGGTAACCTAGAGGACACCTCCAAAACAGGCAAAGAAAAGGCTAGCATGAAGAACAGGGATATGCTTGGGTTCTGGAGACAATGAAAAGAATCAGCCAGCACAGTCTGAATGAGGAAGTACTGGGAGATAATCTGCAGAAGACTGGGGGTACCCTTTGTCAGGTTGGTTATCCTTTTGCTGAAGGTAGAGAAACCACTCAGCAAGTTTTGATGTGAGAAAACAAGGGTTGTAAATGGAAATGGCAGAAGTGGTAGCCTCAAAGAAGGAAAGATCCTGGATCCACTAGGAAGAATTAACTGAACTCAGTGACTCAACACAGAGCTACAAAACATATACAAAAACTTACATGCAAACGTTAATGTCGATAAAAGCACTGTAAAAGAGCATTAGGATGTCTGGTACATGCATTCAGGCTCTCTCAAGCTAATAGCAAAGGAAGTATCAGGAAATATGTTCAAGTGACAAAGACTAAAATCCCAGAGAAATGTCCAACATGATGAAGCGTTGTGGTACCTACCAACTCAGTGGCTGTGGAACTTCAACTTTCTGCCCGTCCACCTCCAGGTCCTCCAATTCCTTGAAATACTTGTTCTTTAAGCAATGGAGAATCTCTTTTGCGTGGCTATTGAAAAATAAAAAAATTTCAAAACCAATCTAAAAAGCTAATTTCATACATCTTATCTTTATTATCTAGACTGCAAGTGTTTCAAAACTAAAACACATTTTTCATGGAGATAAGAAGTTCCTTAGTCAAGATCTTTTTATTACACTACTTCAATAAATTAAACAGTCCTCCTTATCTGATTGCTAAAGAATGATAAACAACATGCAATACTGCACTCCTTCCCTCCTAAATATACCTAAGTTCTACTTTTATTTGCAATTCATCTTGGAAAGACGTGACTACAACGACTGGGGAAAATACAGACCCCCGGGTTTATGCAAGTTTGATATCATAAATTCTATGTTCCAAAATGTAAGATCCTCAGCTCACCAATCCGCAGGAGTCAACCCTTTCTCAGACTGCATTTGCATTTCGTGTGCTGGCCTCCCAGCTGCACTACCTTCCTCGACTATTTCACTGGACCCCTGTCGCTCCGTCCTCAATCCTCTTGAGTCCATACCAATGAAGTGGAGCATTAACCATGGATGTCCTAGCCCCAACTACCAAAGAAATGAAAGCACAGCTCCCCCACCTTTTATAACCAGTAATTCTCAAAGTGGCCGGGAGGGGCTCCCTGAGGGAGTCCATGAACAGGTCCCACTCGCCGTCGGGCACGATCCTGAGCTCCTTGTAGTAGTGCTCGAACAGTTTGTTCTCCTTGACAATCTCGGGGTACCCACCTTCCCAGCCCTGAGGAAAGAAAGGGACGTGGGACCCAGGCCCGAGCAGCCGCCCGTCAGGCCTCGGGTCGAAGAGGCCCACGTGGGGCCCCTGGCCCGCCCGCCCGCCGCGCCCC